AAAAAAAAAGCTAAACAAAAAAAAAGCTAAACAAAAAAAAAGCTAAAATTTTCAGGTGAAATTCTACATTAGAAACAGCATTTATGCAGCCTTAGAAGATGAGCTCTGCTCTCACTCATCAACAGATAAAGGGAAGTTAACAGCAAATTTCCAATAAAAATCAAAATAATTTTATTTGCTGTCTCAATTAAGTAATCTCCATCCACATGCACCTTGAATTGTACAGTAATACAGATAACCTGAGTTGTTCACAGGTTTGGACCTTAAGACTACAGGGTGGTTCAAAATAAAGTCAGAGAAAAGTAACAAAATTATGTTTTCCAGACACACAAGTTCGTTAGAGAAACGACCACTCAATTCAGCACAGAACACAAATATTCACATAGAAACAAAAAGCTTCCAGTATGACAGGGAATAGGAACAATGGACAAAACTTCATTATATAGCACATTAAATCAAATCTTTGCCCTTCACAGAGATCACACATTTTTCTAATGTGGAATCAGCACCATTTTGTTATGGAAGAGGAGGATTCCACAGAAGGAGGAGCAAAACACAGAAAATCTTTTGTAATTTGCTGCCATCTGGCAGCACTGAAGAGCAAGACCAGTAAAAAAGTAGATTTATAGTAGAGTGTATTGCACTAGAAAGCCACACAAAGCAGATCTTATCCTGGTGCTGATGACACTTTGCTACCTGCAGATTCCAGCTCTGGCAGCAACATCTTTATCACTACAGTCTTTGATATTTCATTTATTTGTCATAACATCTTGTCCCTCTTTCCTTAGACAAGTCCAACTTTCTCCTTACTTCATAGCAAGTAGCAGAAAACTTCTGAAGGTGATACTGTGAAACATTTAACATTTTGCTGCCTAAGTAATCAATATAGAAACCAAAGGTTACTCAAACACACTAAATAGCAAGAGAGCTTTAGCATACACTACCAAGAAATGCAGGCAGCCTGCACTGAGTTCTGAATTTCCCTCCCACTTCCAGCTGGTTATTCCGGGGTGGTGGCATTGGCCGGAGGAGAACCTGTTGGCTGCACATCCCAAAGCTACAACCAGTTGTAAAATAACAATAACACATTTCACCACCAGGGCCTCTGCCTCTCCTCTGGGCACAAAGCCTTTAAAAACCTCCCAATATTCACTCCAAGAACAGTAAAGCTTTCCCACAACACTGTTTTTTGGCTATGACATGAAAAAGGGTATAATAAAAATTATATTCTTACTGGAAAACAGCAAAACACAACAGTGGTGTCCTTGCTGCCAAACACCAGGGACCAGCACAAACAAGGCTTTGCAAGGAGCAACCTTGGCACACCATGAGTGACAGCAGCCCCACAGTACCTGAGCAGCAGAGCCCTTCCTGGAGCAGGAAACCACAGCTACAACAGAGGCAAAACCATGACTGAGCACACCCACGGTTTAAAGGCAAGAGCTCTGCTCAGCCCTCACTTAAGCAGAGCTCCTGCACCAAAGAGCAGAGGGGCGTGGGTGGGCCCCAGGTGAGGCTGGTTGGGAGGGGCAGAGCTGTTGGTGCCCTTGGTTCTGGCCAGTACCAATAAAAAGCAATTTGATTAAAGCATCTCAGTTATTAAGCTTTTGGGTTGGTGATTGGAAAGCTGTAGCTTCCTCATTTATGCTGTTTGTTCGTGTCTGGCACAGACTAGGTGGGAAATCAGCTTTCTGGTTCTTTCACTAGCCACTGCTGCTGCTCTCTGTGTGTGTGGCTGTCACCCCACACCCCCACACACACCCGCTGTTTCCCACTTCCCAAATGACTTTGGCATTCACATGGATACCCCATCACCCAGGCACATAACCTCCCACCTTGCTGTCTTGATTCATCCTTCACCTTGTAACTGCACTGTTTTTCTGCACCATTTTTAGGTAACCTGGCTCCTCCCCAAACCTGTTGTTATTGCATGTCTGTCCCCTGCTACTTCTGGTCATAAAAGTTTCTTGATGTATCCTTAGCTGTGCAGCTCTGTTTTTCCGAACCAAACTCTAGACCTGATTCACTTGGAAACTGTCCCCAGATGATTTTGATGAGTGTTTCCCAAAGGGCACCAAAGCCTCCAGATAAATAAATAATAAAGATACTGCTTCTGTTGCCAGGTTATTGCTGCTACCTAGGGAGCATGGAATATCAGGGAAGCCATGTAAGCTTAATTTGACCTTTCCAGCATTTTTTCCCTCATTTTCTGTAAATGGTAATGCACATCAGATTTTATTTTTCTGTCCTTTAAGGTAACGCACTACTGTTCCTTTATGTTTTCTTCTTCAGGCAAAATTATAAACTGCTAACCT